CAAGGTTGCCCCCCCCCCCCCCCTACCCCGTATCTGAGGTCTGCGCACACGGCTCACTGACATTGCCACAGCGCCTGAGACTTCACTGGGTGGGGCAGGACAGTGGCGTACTTGCACTTTCTTCCAGCGGAGGGGCATGCATGTAAACCCTAAACCCTAAACCCTAAACCTTTGTTCCAGCGGAGGGGCATGCATGTAAGTGAGCCGGTATAGATCTGCGCCCCACACCTGGCAGAGCCATTTCCTTTGGCTAGAGTCAAACACAAAACGTCTGCGCAAGCATGCAAGTATAGTCCCCCTTAAGTAGATAGAATATGGCTTTGGGCATATTATAATAGGATCCCCATATACCCCATATTCTATCTACTTAAGGGGGACTATAGCCTAAACCTTGAACCCTAAACCATGCAAGTGAGGCTTGTCACATTGGCGCAGGTCCATCTTTTGCTGCACACTCTGGTCCATGGACCATCCCAAGACACAGTCGCGAATTTCCTCGACCTGCAGGGCTCCAAGTGTGCAACACAACTCTTGTTTGAGAGCTTCCAAAAAATCAGGGTCCTATAATAAAGGTTGTAGTATTTCGGGGTCTATACTGGGGCCCTCCTTTATGGAAACTACCACATGCTGCCCTAAACCCTAAACCCTAAACCCTAAGGGATGGCATACCCACTGCTGCCAAACCGTGACAGACAGCTGCCTTGTCGTTGGTAACATGCGCTTGCTCTGGCAGGTCCAGATCCTCAGAAATTCAGACACTTGAGGGTTTCCCAAAATTAAGGGTACCATTTGGGGTGGGTCCGAATAATAAGGAAAAAAATATGTTGGGGTCTATATTGGGGTCCATACTGTCCGAGTAAAAAGGATCATAATATTTTTGGGGCCTATATTGGGGTCCATCTTGGGGTCACCCTTATTTAGGGAAATAAGCACTTGGGCCCCTTGCCAGATCCTCTTGCCATGAAAAAAACATGAGCTATAGTCTAATCTCCTAGTATCCCCCTTAATAAGCCCTATAGTACTCCCCTATATAATTCCCTATATTTTTAACCCCCTTTAAGGAGTTTAGACTATGGCTCACATGAGGTCAAAGGGATACCAAGAAAGGCCGCTAGTTTTGACGCCCCACCGAATTGAAACGTTGGGGTTTTCTATAGGGCTATATAGGGATTACTTGGGGTTATTTGGGGATTATATAGGGGCTAGAAATGGAGTATATAGGGGCTATATAGGGGTTATAGAATTATAATGGAAAAGAAAATGGAAACTACCATGACAACCCTTCTGGGCGCTGGGCGTAAGGTGACGGAATGTCCGTCTCCATGAAGTCTGTGTTATCAATTGCTGCATTGTCCGGATCTTCAATGGCATCAGCGATGTCCAGGAAGCGGTTGAGGAAAAAGAAGGACATGTTGATCATGCCTGCGGCACAGGTAAGGTTCGGCGTGTTACGGTGGTTGAGCCCAGTATGGTCTGACTGTGGAGACTACAACCCAAAGCAGAACATCATCTTAAACGCTCTACACTTGACGGACTATAGTAATTATGGGACACATGGCCACCTGCCTCAGGGCGTTCAGATCCCTTTAAAAACCCCCTCTACTCGCCTTGCAGACGCCTCAAGCCGGCCACCCCCCACCCCCCCGCCCCGCCATGGTGGGTGGCCTAGTCCAGCCTGACCATCCCGCATGAAATTTCAGCCTCGCCCAAGGTTCGCATTTTTCGTCCAGACCCGCGGAATTCGGAGGTTTTGGGGCCCCTGGAGCCCCCTGGAGGCCCCTGGAGGCCCCTGGAGGCCCCTGGAACGGCCTGGAAGCGCCTGGAAACCCCCCCACATGCATGGATGAAGCTGCGTAACCTCTACAGACCCTGCATTTCCTATGGCTT